ACGCCATGTGAATCAGGCTCTTGAATGGTGGGAGGGACCTCTTCAACGATGACAGTGGCCTCTTGAACGGTGGGAGGGGACTCTCGAGGAATGATAGGGGCCTCTTCAACGATAGGAGTGGACTCTTGAGGGATGATAGGCGAGTCGGGCTTCTTCTTGCGGTGTCTTCGCACTATTGGGGTATACGGAGACTTAATAGCACGTGCACGCCGTCTGATGCGTGAACTCTGTCGTGCAAGAAAAACCCGACGTAAAGCATCCACCTTATCGGTCCGCTAAATAAAAATACAAATATCAGTAAATAAACAGACATGATATTTAAACAGTGAAAACAAAGATAAATATATTTCAAACTTTCAACCACAAGACAAAACAAAGACAAATACTAACTTCACAGTGTTAAAGTAAAAAGTTTAGCAGTTTTGGCAGCAACCGAATAAATTTACCAAGCAATCTAAGTGAAATGGTTAATTTAAGTGAAATTACGAGTAAATTTATCATCAAGTTAAATATGGAAAATCTTAAACTTACCTCGTTGCGTAGAGTATGAACCTCATTATGCAACGATACTACCATCTCACGTAGAGCGGCAACCTCACCACGTAAAGTAGACACCTCCACACGCCATGCACCATCGTTATCGCGTAGAGTACTGATCTCCTCACGCAAGGCATTGACCTCATCACGTAACTCCCTTGACTCATCCCGTGGAGGTGGAGAACAGGGAGATAGAAGTCGTGGCATCTTTGTCGGTCGCCTATCATGAGGTGATGGTGGAGAAGAGACTCGATGATGTGACGGGATAGGTGATGACTCTCGTTGTAGAGGTGTATAGTCGGGTCGATCAGGTGATGGCTCTGGGTGAGGTGATGGCTCTCGAAGTGGAGGAAGTGGAGGCTTCTCATCATTCGTGCCATCAAAAAAACGCTAACTAGCTTGCCACCAATCAGTGGCAAGCTCAGCCTCCGTGGGTGTCAGTCTCATTAATGGAGTGTTGGCCTCCTAATAATATAAAAACTAAAACAAAGTTAAACGTCTACTATTAATAACTTGTTTATATATGATAGTATTTGTGTTAACTTACATTATTTATTGTCGCATATGGTATTAAGTCTTCCCAATCCAACATACGTTTCCTCTTCCAGGAAATAGCCCTAGAAATATCATCTGAGGATTTTAATGCATATGTCCGCATGCTGGGGAAAGCCTCGAATATCCAAATCTACAAACAATATAATAACAAACATTAGTAATTATTAAATAATTAATTATAATTTTGAAAACATTATATAGAAATTCTTACCTTAAAGGCCCAAACAAAGCCTGACAAAGTGTATTTCGACCCATCGCCACGCAAACTTTTGCGGTCATCAAAGGCAGACGACAACTTAGTCCAGGTAGCTTTCCATATATACGAACCCCACGGAAACAGATTCCATGCAATTAGGTCCTCTACCAATAATATTAGCTCCTGAGGAATAGGTTGTCTGGCCTCTCTGCCTAGAAAGCCGGCATACAAAAGTAGTAGAAGGCATACTCGGACAACATCGACGTCATTCATCCGAGTAAAACCATCTTTCTTATTAAACAATTTCTTCATGTCGTCGACGTGTAAGTTCGGCTTCTCTATTGACTCATCAGGAAAAACCCTGGATAACCATGATGGGCGGGTGATATGACGAGTGTACCGGCCTACATCATCGTGTCCGAATCGTAGACCGGTGATTAAGCAGAACTCCTTCCGCCCAAAACAAGTATACGCCGGTGGAAAATGAAACCATATCTCTTCCTCACCACGTTGTATACTGTCAGGTAGATCGCTAGTCATGGTCTGAAGCCACAAATGGGTCAAACTAGCATCTCCACCCGGATGCTGTACTCTCAGCCATGACCCGAAGCAGGTTTCTTCAAACAATTTTCTTTGTGCAGGTGAAAGCTTCGAAGCAATTGTAGTGGCTAGGCTAACTTTATTCCTTAATGTCAATGAAGCCGAAAAAAAATTCTACAAAAAAACAATAAACATACCAAGTTAAATATACCAAAAATTACACTGTCAAGATATACCAAAAACAAAACAATAAACATAAATAGTAGTTTATTCTTGAAACTAAAATTTGCAACACTGTTTTGTCTTTTGGTTGAAATGAAAATCGCAACGAGATAATGAGAATTGCAACGCGGAAATGACTATCGCAATGAGAGAATCGCAACGCGAAATGACTATCGCGACGAGAGAATCGCAACGCGAAATGAAAATCGCAACGCGAAATGAAAATCGCAACGCGAAATGAAAATCGCAATGCGATTTTGGTTTCGCGTTGCGATTTTTATTTCGCGTTGCGATAGTTATTTCCGCTTTGCGATTTTCATTCTCGAAACTATTCTTCTTCTGCATTACTTCAACCAAAAGACAAAACAAAGACAAATACTAACTTCACAGGCTAAACAGTTTAGCAGTATTGGCAGCAATCGAATGAATTTAATAAGAAATCTAAGTGAAATGGTTAATCTATTATTGAAATTACCAGTAAATTTATCATCAATCTCAATATGAAAAACCTAAAATAATGCAAAAATTTCAAAATAAAAATAAAAAAAACTAACCCTCGGAGGTTGATTTTCCATTTCTGAATGATTGTGAGGGATTTTTGACTGTGAATGGTTGTGAGGGATTTCGCCGGCGATGGGGACGGAAATCTTCGGAGATGGGGACGGATTTCGCCGTAGAGAGTGAAAGATGGAGATGGGACTGAGTGTTGTGTGTTTGGGTTTGAGGTTATGAGTTGCGTGCGATTACTGTGGACGGTTCATTTTCCGATTTATTAAGAAAAAATACGTGTTTGGAATTTGAAAAAAAAATACGCGTTAATACGAATGGCGCTAAGTAAATCGCGTTGCGAAAGTCAGTATCGCGTTGCGAAAGTAAGTATCTCGTTGCGATTTTTTATTATCGCATTGCGATAGTCAGTATCGCATTGCGATTTTCTCAATTCGCGTTGCGATTTACTTATTCGCATTGCGAATTTCCCAATTCGCGTTGCGATTTACTTATTCGCATTGCGAATTGGGAAAATCGCAACGATACTGTAGACCATCGCAACGCGATTTTCAACTATCGCATTGCGAAAATGCAACGCGTATTTGCGATAATGGAGATCGCGTTGCGAATTAGCGATCACATTGCGATTTTGTTGGTCATTTTGGCAAATCCGGAAAAAGTTGGTTAAAATCGTATATTATATGGGATTTTTGGTCACTGAGGTTATTTTCTCATTTTTTTATGATAGTTACACTATGTCCATTTAAATTGATATCTTAGTTTCATCCCTACATTCACCTGAAATATTACTTTGATGATATTTGTTTGTAATTTTATTAATGTTTGTGTCATTTACTATTAAAATTGAGAGTTAATTTATTATAATAATAACTTTTGTGTGCTCTTCTATTAAAATTTTAACGTCAATAGATGAATTTATGAGTATTAATTTTAAATCAAATAATAAGTTTATAATTATTTACAATTAAAAAAATCAACAAACACAATTTTATAATCAAATGATTAGGAGAATAATTATTATCTTTGAAGGTTATTAGTTCGAGTACAAGCAACTGTAAGACACTTGAGTGTCTTTAGAATCTATACTACATTTGTAATAACTAATCACCACATATTAATAGAGAGGTTTAATTACATGGATGATAAAAAAAATAAGATATGTTTACTTTCGTTATTATTTAATTATGATACAATCACTTTTATTTTTATTTATCAAGATGTGGTCATTACGGGTTAATTGCCGTTAACAATTAACAAAATAAATGACACGATAGTTAATATAATCACATATTTGGTCTCTGTTATTTACATATTCTCTCAATTTAGACATACTTTTAAATGAATTTTAACATAAAAAATATATTTTTAAATAAAAATAAAATATTTTTAAATTAAGTAAATACTAAAATATATTTTATAAGATAAAATAAAAAAATTTATGTTAATATATATATAATATTATGAATATAAGTATTTATACACTAATATATAAAATATATATACCATGTTTTATACTTTAGACCAAGCAATAGTCTTGGCTCAAAGGTTAGGTTTAGTTTCCTAAGTTACCAAAGTTTGAATCTTTTTTGTCTTATTTTGCTTTCCTTTGTTTTTTTTCAACCAAAGAGTTAGCCATTCCACTTTTTGATTGGTGTAAATAAATATATTAAATTAAAATAAAAGTTAATCCTCCAATCGAATGGTGACACATGACATGAAATTTGACATCATTTGATTGGAGGATTAAATTTAATTTATTAAAAATATGACTAAATTGAGAGAATATATAAATGACAAAGATCAAATGTGTAATTATATCAAAATATTTAAATGTTGTTAACTGCACTTAACTCGGAGTGATTGCATCTTAATTAAATAAAAATGAGAATGAACATATTTTATATTTTTTGAAATTAGCTAAAAGTTGACAAAACACAAAGATAATTGATTATCCGTATAGTTAACACTAATAATTTTTTTTGCATATTTTTCTTAAAATACAAAAGCTAAATTTAAAAAAAATAAAGTTGTAAAAACTTATTTATTAGTTTAAAAAAGGGTAAATTATATATTTAGTACCTGAACTATCACTTTTATTTTGTTTTAGTACCTAAACTTTCAAAATTTTCAAAATCATATCTAAAGTTTACTTTTTGTTTCATTTTAGTACCCCCACCGTTAAAATTTTATGTACTAAAATAAAACAAAAAGTTAATAGTAGGATATTAAAATGAAACAAAAAGTTAACAATGGGTACTAAAAGTAAACGTTAGGTATGATTTTGAAAAAAGTGATAGTTTAGGTACTAAAACAGAACAAAATGATAGTTTAGGTACTAAAAATGTAATTTACCCTTTAAAAATAGAGAGAAAATTCGAAATTGCAGCATACCAAAAAATTGTAATTGAGAGGCAGCCAAAGGCCCAAAGAAACTTTATGCTGACATGAAAACGTAAACTTCCCCGTTCTCTGCCAAACGCGCAGTTTCGTCTCGAACCTTTTGATTCCTCTCTCTAGTTCCAATCATTTGTATTTTTGCTGCAAATCTTTTTTTTTTTGCAGATCCAATCATGAGAACCGAATAGTGAGCCTCTGCTTCCCTCTCCAAATTATCTTTCCATTTTGTTGTAATTATTACCTCTCATCGTATATTTCTGTTCACATTTCTTTAATTGTTTGTAGCGATTATCTGTTCAAGCTTCTGCTCATCGGCGATTCCTCCGTCGGGAAATCCTGTTTGCTTCTCAGATTCGCTGTAAATCCTAATATTCTTTAGCTCATTTATGTATTTAAATGTGCTTCTCATTTAAATGTTGAAATGAAGGCATGATATGTTTGGAGATTAAAAATAATGAATGAAGCGATTAGAACTTTAAGCTGAGAGAGATAGTGGTGGATAAGAATGATTAGAGGATGATGATTGTTGTAAGTAAATGTTTGTATATCTTAGTTATCGCATCCAATCTCAAATCTATGGAGATTACTGTTTGCTGGTTGGTTTGGTTCAATTCTGATGTTCATTGATTGTATTTAATTGTTTTGGCATTTGCGTTTTCTTCCCCATAGTAATTTAATAAGATGAATTTCTAATGAGCTTGATCTCAATGTTAATCTTAGACTAAATAAGGTCGAGAATTTTAAGTGTTTTTTTTTATAAATTTTCCAGGATGATTCTTACCTGGAGAGTTACATCAGTACGATCGGTGTTGATTTTGTAAGTTTCTTTCCCCCTTTGGAACAATTTTTTTATATATAATGGAAATTGTTTCCCTTTAATCATTTACCATAAATGTGAAAACAAAAAATTTATTTGATTGTTAATATCTAGAAAATCAGAACTGTGGAGCTGGAAGGAAAGATAATCAAGCTGCAAATTGTAAGTATAATGCAATTCTTTTGAAGTTAATTTACAATGCATTCGCAATCAACTTCCATTTTAAGCCAATAATTTCATTCTTTTCAAGTTAACTTCTGCTCGAAGCTTGTTTGAATATAGTTAACCTCTTTTCTTCTTTTTATATTTTTATTTTAAACTAAAATAAAATTCATAAATTTATAGTCTATATAGTTTTGAGAGTAGGTGTTGAGTGAAATTCGATTATTGTCACAGACCCTGTTTTGTGTAGGGGTTATTTTATAAGATAGACTGAGCTTGCCCATTGCTGGATGTTTTCAATGGATGTTAGAATTGTTTTCACAGTCATGGTTCACTCTTTTTTCCTTCAACTAGGCTTAGGAAGGTTTTTAAACGAGGCCCATGATTGTGTTTCGTTTTGTATGAGGTTTCCTAATAATACCATACAAAACAATATTTCATAAAAAAAAGTTTTGAGGGTCATTTATGAAAGCAGTTTACAATTTCATGATTCTTGAGTTAATTGTTCGTTTTATTGGGAAAAAGAAATACACTACAATGTAGATTGTTGCTTTAGATTATACTATATATTGTCATCTTTTAGCTTTATGGCTACGGTGTACTAATTTTTTTTGTTTGATTTATAGATGGGCTTGTAATGGTTGAGAAAGGGAAATCCTTTCTATCTGTTACTAGGAAGCTATAGCTTGCATAGCTAAAATAGCTTCACTTTTGACTCACCAGAAAAGGAATGTTTATCGGAAATTTTATTTTGTTCATCCAATCTGTTCCTTTCTTGGCAAATCACGGCCGTCTAATGTTGGGAAAATTAGTAACAAAGAGCCATGCATCACTCTTCTCTAAAGTTTTTTTCCCCATATGATTCAATTGGTGCCCAATAAACATGTGGTTCTTTACTCTTGTTTTTTTGTTCAGTGGGATACAGCTGGACAGGAGCGTTTTCGGACTATTACAAGCAGTTATTACCGAGGAGCTCATGGGATAATAGTAAGAAACTGGACCTGATTGATCTGAGGATTCTAAAATATTGTCCCAACTAGACCTCGAGGTTGGAATTGGGGTGTGTTTCAAACAAAGTTGTTCATCAAATTATTTGTTAATTAATATCCTTTGTCTCTCTAGCAAATATAATAAACATATAGCCAATATTCTGATGTTATTTCATCCTGCAAAATGTGATGCGAGCCCCAAAGGCCAAAACTACCTAATTCTCGAGTTATTGAAAGAGAAGGGGGCTGCCGTACTGAACATAGATATTGATATTCTGACTTTATGAATGCTGTTTGAATGTTTTAATCTGGGAACTTGTATCTTTGATTCTCTAGTTTTGCTTGTTCACGTTTTTGAATGCATGAGGTATCACAATTATTTTGACACTCTCGCTGGCCTCCCCGCTTTCATTTGCCGAAACTCCTATTAGTCATCTAGCTGGCATTTAAATCCAGATTTTCTGTCCGATTGCCATGGGATATATACTAACATGGCTTCTCTTAAACATTTCTGTCACCATATTTTTCGTTACGTATTCAAATTACGGTTTTCATAGCATGTTGAAGAACACAGATAGAAGATTATATCCATTTTTCTCTCATTAAATGATATTATAACTTTCGTTTTTTATTCTTCTTTTACCCTTGTATCTCAGCATTCTTTTTGTCTATTGGGATTTCCACAGATTGTTTATGACGTTACTGATGGGGAGAGCTTCAAAAATGTCAAACAGTGGTTACGCGAGATTGACAGATATGCCAATGACAATGTATGCAAACTTCTGGTTGGGAACAAATGTGATTTAATTCAAAACAAGGTTGTTGGCACACAAACAGCCAAGGTTTGTTTTGTTATTTGATTCTAATGTTTGAACTTTTATAATAAGTTTAATGTCTTCTTTACCACGGTGTTCGTCTCTTTTCGAGATTCCTACGGCATTTTGGTTTTCATTTAGAGACTTCTTGTGAATTATCGATGGTTGAGATGGCTAATTGTTTGAATTATTGAAATATGAAGTAAATGACGAGATAGTCTTAGCTCAGGCATCATAATTTGATTAATTTGCAATTATGCTCTTCCATGAACCGCAGGCATTTGCTGATGAAATTGGGATTCCCTTCCTGGAGACAAGCGCTAAAGATGCAATCAATGTGGAACAGGCTTTCTTAACCATGGCTGGAGCAATCAAGCAAAAGTAAAATAAGTCTCACTCTTTCATACATTCCATACCCCCCCCCCCCCAAAACAAAATGCTCTGATCTATTTAACTATTTGCTACTGATTGGTTATTGGTAAGATATTACAATCATCACCTACTATAATAGATTCTCAAACCTCTTAAGAACAATTAATAACGCTTTCGATGTATTATTCTGTCACATTGCTTGCTTATTACAATAGAGTGAGCTTATCACAGAAGAAAAATCTTTTACTTTTCTTGTCCTTAATTATGAAGTTTGCATGTATGATTTTGTATCAAAATCTGTGCAGAATGGGTAACCAGCCAACTGCTAGCAAGGCAACAACCGGAACGGTTCAAATGAAGGGACGGCCTATCGAAGAGAAGGGCAACTGCTGTGGTTAGTCAAACCATATTTGTGATTGACTAATATTTGTGTCCTTTATATGTTTAGAGAAAATTGTTATAACCTCTCTCTATGTAAAACCATATAATATTATTAATTGATTTTTAAATAATAATTCAAATGGAATGACTTTTTTTTTGTTTTTCTTAATAGAAAAATGAATTAAATTAAATTTCATATAATATATAATACTGTTTTTTGAAATTAAATTTGAAAAGTATACCATATTAATTTTTTATAATGTATTTAAACATTATATTTTTATATAATGTATAAACACATTAATTGAATTTTGTTTATATTATTTTAAATTTTAATTTATTTAAAAAATAGATTTAGGGTCATGATATTGACCTATGGTTGTTTACAATATTAGTGTTCAAGTATTTGAACTATATTTTCTTATATTGATTTATATTTTGTTATGTTAGTGTGTTGTTAGTGTTATTATATTGAATATTTTTATATTTAAACATCTATCATATGATCATCATATTGTTTTAAGTATAAAATATCTTATATAATTAATTTATAGGGTTTTTAATGTAAAAGCGTGTTTCGTCTATAAAAGGCGCACGCCTTCACCCCGTGCCCCGCACCCCTCTCCTAGGCTCTAGGGATTTTTTGCGTCTCGATACACCTTGCGCCTTTTAAAACTAAGGTCTTTAGTTTTGATTCAAGTGGTACTGTTTTATTTATACTTGGACGTTTCAGTTGATACGCACCGTTTCAAATTCGAGACAAATAAACTCTACTTTTATATTCAAACCTCAACCCGACTATTTGTTATGTAGCTATAAATGTAGATTGCAATATTTGATTCTAATTCTTAATTATATTATGATTTTATTTGTAAATAATATTTGCATCTCTTTCAAAATAAACTTTCCTTTTCTTCCTTTCGACGTTAAATGTGTGTTGTGTAAGTAAGCATTCATATTCATTATAGTTCTGCCTAATTAGCCAATAAATTCAAAAACATTTTTCCAAAAAACCAGTTATTTTAGTGAGATGAGACACTAGATTTCTTAAGCAAGATCAAGGGTTCGAATCCTGACGAATGGAGTAAATTAGGTTGGGAGGATCGCCATTGCTTCTACATTACCCGATCCAGATTATTCAATCTATAGATCGAACTCCGGTATTTATACAAAAAAAAAATCTAATTAGACTCAAATAGACTGTTGCATCTCAAGTAACAGATGATAATTATAAAATAACCATTTATTACAAATCAACAATATTAATAGGGTGCATTTGGTTCGGTTTTTAATAAAATAATTATTAAATTATATTATGTGAAATTTTAAAAATGAATGGAAATTAAATTATATGAAAATATAAAATTTTGATTCAGTACGATTTTGTAGTTTTTAGTTGTTTAACATTTTATAAATTCATCATAAATGTTTATCATTTTTTAAATTCGTCATTAAAAGTAAATTATAAAGTTCAAATCAAGTGTAAACACACAAGTTTGAATATTAAAAATTGATATTATGAATTTTAAGATTTTATATATTTTTAGATTATCTAATAACAAAATAAAAAACAATTTAATTGGGATCATTATGTTACAAATTGATAAGGTTAATGATCATAATATAATTTTTTAAATTTTAATGGAGAACAAAAGGAATTTTACTAAATACTAATGACCGTCGGTGCAGTTTAACAAAAACTAGGGCCGCATTACGAAAACAGCATATTAGCGATACATTTTTGAAAAGGGTAAATTATAAATTTAGTAACTAAACTTTACTCTCTCTCATATTTCACTAATTATACCTTAAATCCTTTTAATTTCATTAACTTAATACATTTGGTTTTTTTAGTCACTCAACCATTAAGTAGTTAACGATATTATAATGAACTGTTATATGGATGCAAAACGATATCGTTTTAGTGAAAATTTTATTTTTTAAAATGGAATTATTTGTAACGTTGTTAACTATTTAACAGCCGAATGACCAAAATATGAGAGAGAGTAAAGTTCAGTACTAAAAAAATTCAATATATTAAGTTCAGTGAGAAAATTGAAAACTTTTAAAGGTCAGTGAGAAACATAGGAGAGAGAGTAAAGTTCAATGACGAAATTTGCAATTTACCCTTTTGAGAAGAAGAAGCAAATAGAAAAAAAATAGCATTGGAATATAGGAGAGACCGATTTATCTTTCGCTGCCAAGGAAGAAAGAGAAAGATGACTGAAATTTCAACAAGTAGATCGCTCCGTTTCCAACTGTTCTTTGCTTCCGTTTCTCTACACTTCATTTCAGGTTTGCTTCCTAGTTCAGAATACTCGATAATTTGTTGTGTTTTCTAAAGGAATCTTATGCTCTTTGAATTGTATTTATCAAATTGTTCTGCTCGGATCTCGAGTCATTGGTTGCCCGGAATTCAAGTTTACTTTTTCTTTCTAATTTATGTATCGGACAATTTATGTTCTTTTGTTTGATTACTTAATGAACACTCAAGATTTTCTGTCTTGACTATTACTTTTCTCTGTTTGGCTGCTGAGAAAATTGACATCCAATGAACGTGAAAACAAAGCATTTTTTCCCTGTTCTTTTTGGGAGGGATGTGGAATCTGTTGTTCCAGTTTGCTTTTTTGAATCTCAAACTTGTAATAGATCTGCTAGTTAGCGGTTTAAGTAGGCATTTGGTATGTTTATAGTATGAACAAACCAAGTTGGGCTTCTAATTCAATGTAGGTGTACCGATTTCCGTTGAATCTTTGGAAATTACGATGATTGATTAAATGAAATTCACATGAAGCTATGTTATCATGCATGGCTGATCTAGATCATTGCATTTTTGTTGCAGATATGGGAAGATGGTTCATTATTCCTTAGATTTGGGTTACTTGCTTTGTGTGTTAGCTTTCAGCTTGATTTGATTGGCATACTATTGATTCTGTTGCCCTAATGGACTTCAAATTTGAGATTGTTCTTATTGCTGCTTACCTAATTATTGAAAGTGTTGATCAATTTGTTCTATTTTTCAGGTTTTTGTGACGACTCTACAGATTCAAAAAACAGCTCAAAGACGAAACATGATACGGTTAATAATACTGGGGCCAAGGTAGTCCTCATATTGCTTGGGCTTATTGCAGTCGGATTGTTTTCCTTTTTCCTTTTCAAGTTGTGGCACAAAAAGAAACGAGACGAGCAATATGCTCGTCTTCTAAAGCTGTTTGAAGAAGATGATGAGCTTGAGCTCGAGCTTGGCCTGCGGGACTAGCTAGCTCCACAGTGAGAACTGAGCATCCTATTTGAGGTGTGTAAATAAATTTTCTAGTCATCGATTACCAACATTCAAGGAGGAAGTAATTCTTCATCATCCACAATTGTAATGGTTGAATGTAGATCGAAAACATTGTAACCATTTTCATTGATCCAGCCGTTTCGGCATCGCCATATTAGGCACCCCTGTGAATTCTAATGTTCGACTCTCAAGTCTATATCTTTACGCAGCTTGGCAAATTGGTTCCCCTTCACTTACCTATACATGCAACACAGTGGTGACCGGCGATAGTGGGACTTAGTTCCATTGTCGCTGTAGAATGTCGACCTCTTCTTTTGTTTTTTCGTGCTTGACAATCATTTAACTCGTACTGATTTTCTAAATAGATACATTATGCAATGATCTGTTATCTGGTTTTGCATTTCGTCTTCGGTTTTTTGTTTATTCGTTTAGTTGTTGATTCTTGATACCGAGTTTGTTGCTCTTGATTTGCAGGCTGAAATGGTATCAGTGGGTTGTATTGTTTAGAGAACTCAAATTTTGTGATGGTCAAGGCCAGAAATTTAGGCATATCCTGTGGTAAGGTCAGATAAATTTTCAACCTTAAGCTGTACTATTTGTAATGATATGTTCAAATGATTTTTTTGGGGTGCCATTTTGTACTGTTTGTAAAGAATTATAAATATTTTTCGCATGTTATGTATTTTAATTTTATCATTTTCAGTACTTAATTTTAGTTTTCTTAACATTTTGTTTTACATAATGCTTAAAATACACTATATATGATCCACAAATCTCTAAATCGAAGGTTATAAGAGAATTCAACTAATTTTTTTTAGTGTAAACTATATCAGTGATCACATAATTATAACTCATTTTTATTTTGATCACCTTTTTTGAATTTTTGTCAATTGGGTCACTCAACTATTTAAATGCATTTAACCACACCACTTGCCGTTAACAATTAACGGTAGTGTTGGCGTGGCATTTAGTAAAATTTATATAATTACATATTTGGTCACTCTTACTTATATATTCTATCAATTTGGTCATACTTTTAATAAATTGAAATAAATAATTTATTAATTGTCACGTCAGCACTACCGCTAACTGTTAACGACAAGTGGTCTGATTGAATGTATTTAAATAGTTGGGTGACCCGATTGACAAAAATTCAGAAATGATTGTTAAAATGAAAAGGGGTATAATTAGGTTTACCCAAAATTTTATAATAACAACGGTGTCATCCGAATAAATATTTAATCAAGCTTACAGAAACTTCGATACAAATGTATAAAGGAAAAGCTTTAGCTTTATGTTTGAAACAAATGTATCAAGGAAAAGCTTAACCTTCGAATTAATACGATTTGGTCACCAATAATTTCATTTTTCTTTATTTAATAAATCTTCATTTTTCTAACGAAAATATAAATTTTTTTATCTTGTTTCACAGTATTTTAATAAGAGTTAATTGCATCATACGTCCTCAAAATATGACCGTTATTATAAATTGGTTCTTAAACTTTTAAATGTTTCAATTTTAACCCTAAACTATGATTATTATTCTAAAGTAGTCTTCAAACTTTTGAGTATTTTAATTTCATCCCCGAACTATGATATTCATTCTAAATTGGTCCCCAAACTTTTTGAACATTCCAATTTCATCCCAAACTACACATATATACTAATCACATCCTTTGTTAGTAAAATCGTTAGGCCAAGTTATGTTATTATATGTATGAAAAAAATGAAATTTAGGTTAAACTGTGGTTGAAACTAATTACATATTTGAATGAATTTAGGTATGAAATTGGAATATTTAAAAAGTTTAGGGATTAATTTAGAAAGAGGTCGTAGTTTAAGGAAGAAACTAATATGTTTAAAAGTTTAAAGACTAATTTAGAATGAGATTCGTAGTTTGGAGATGAAATTAGAATATCCAAAAGTTTAAGGATCAATTTGAAATGAGAGTTATAGTTTGGGGACATACGATGCAATTAACTCTTTTAATAATAACAATCGTTTAATAATATCTTTAAAACGTTAAGCGCAAACCAAGCGATCTCATTGGTAAACGAATTGTTGTTATTCCTTGATGTCCCAAGTTCGAGCCCCAAAAATGTCAGGGGTGTAAGTATTCAATATTAAAATAATTGAAAGTTATCTTCGAATAAATATTACCTTATACTTAAGTCATATTATTCAAAAAAAAAAAATCTTTCAAACGTTACACACATGCCTTTAAAAAGGTTAAAACCCTTACTCGAGCAACTCTCATGAATTATGCCTTTACTTAATCATTTAACCCTTATAATTTTTGTTTAGAGAAATACAAGTGGTAGTGGTATTGTTGTTAAGACCCAAAATTTAGAAAATTCCGACAATTTTAGCCTAATATCGTAGGTGACGAGTTTTAATAAAAAATATTTTTTAATTTAAATTTTAACCCGATGTGATAAAAATTAATAAAAAAATATATTTTATTAAAATTCGTCACCTCAAAGTAAAGAGTTTCCAGACACCGTAGCAAATACAATAGATCAAACTTATACTTGCCCTATTTTCTCAAATAATTTACCCGTTTGCCTTGGTGGGCCAACCCCCCCTCCCCCGGAAAACTCCCCCTCTGTAATTTCCGGTATCAATGCAAACCCTTTTTCTGCAAACCCTGAATTTATAAGAGGGATTCTGCTCTTTCAGATTGTTCATCAGGCAAGTTTATTATCAAGAATAGATTTGTTCCTACATCCTGCAAAGCATGGAGTAGATTTCTCTCGCAAAGCAGCTTCAAGATACAATATTTTCATTGGATAACGATAGTATATATATATAGAAAGTGAGCATGTGTTGATAAAATATACATACATCCTTGATGATGCTTTGCTTGGTTTTGTAATTACACTTGGGGGGACACAAAATTATGTTCATGCGGTGGCCAATAGATGCCTTCCCTTGGGCATGGGCGAGGAGCATGTTGCGCAATGTGGGTCGGATGCCGCTCTCCCGGCATCACTACCGAGAAATCGGATGCGTGTGGTGCCGATACCTGCCATCACAACATTCATACATACATAAATACATACATCGAACATCAGTTCAGTTACACCAGAGAGATGCAGATGATATAACTTGATATCTTGATGAGATAAAGAACCTACCCTTTCTTGATTCCCAAGTTTCTGAACCGTCCCGGGTCGTAAAGCACCGTTCGTAACGTGATCGGGTGAAGAGAAAGCGGGATTAGGCCGGAAAAGGTGTTCGAAGATGGCCATTATGAGAAACATCGATATCAAGATGGCTGTAGCAACAAATCCAAAAGAAATTGCATTCATGGATGTTCCAAAGCTTTTCCAAGGAGTTCCCTTGTCGGCTGCTACTGCTTGAGATGGACTCGGATCCGAACTCGTATATATGTTCCATGGCCTCGATCTTTCAGTACCAAACTCACTCATAGTCGAACGAATCTTTCTTTGAGCTTAATTAAAAAATAAGTGCCCGAATCACACCTCGTATTCATCAATTGTTCAAAATCCCTGAAACAGAAACAAAAACTATGTGATCATAGATGTAGGATGAAAAACCGAGCAAACGACACCGACCGGGACTTACCGATGACTCTCGGATGATCCTAAACGTGTCTGCAAGTGAATTACATACACCATGAAGGGATATATACTAACCTGTTAAGATTCTGGTACTGGGAATTTGGGAGCAAATGTGATCTTGAGACCCTTTTGATCCTATAATTCAACTGCCCCTGGAAAAACAAGACATCCACACTTCTCAATGAACTATTTTAAAGCAAGTAGAGAGAGCAGAGCAGCCTAGCTTTATACCCTGATTTGAAAATGTAAAGACAAAGTTATATGACAATCCCGTAAAGCAGTACACTTTGCTTTTGATGTCCTTGATGTTACATTATCTTGATGCCTAGCTTAATGGATACTGTACCTTGTCTGAAGGAGCACAACCCTAAAGAGATCAAAAGCAACGAAGCCTTCCTGTTTGGAAGAGCTACAAACCTCAAAAGATTGGCTTAGGAGGTGAGTATTCCGTATTCGAGCGAGTCTAGTTAAAAAATTAGAGTTAACCGAGTTGACGAATCTTACTTTATAACTCAATCAGGATTGTCAAGCAGCTCCAGTATAATTATAGTTATTAACTGCAAATTTCAGAGATAATAATTACTCCCACTAAACTACATTTCAGCAAATTTTCACATGAGAGATGATTATAGTTATCATTAAATTACAATATTAGATGGCAAAACCTTCCCTAAGATAAACTATTTAGGTGTAATCATGGGAAACATGACAAAATCTCACATAATCTCCAACAAGAACTAAAGGATGTGAAAAAATAAATAAAATAAAGATAAAGGTTAAGGCTGCTGGAGACTACTGTTTTTAAGGCTGAAACAACTAAAGATTGCTGTAATTTTATAGTATAAAAATGGTTTGTAAATTAGGGAGGGCATGGACCAAACTTTATTGGTTTTGACTCGACCCAATCTAATAAGGTCGGAATTTTTAAAATTTTTTGAATTCGAATCGGAGTCGGATTTTTTAAAGTTATGTTCGGGTTGAGTCCGGATCGAATTTAAGGTGAAAAATATTTAACTTGAAAAAAATTGTAATTTTATCTTATATATTTAAGGATAATTACAATAATACTCATCTATATACAATTTTCTTTCAATTAAATTCTTATTTTTATTAAATAAAAATAATTTTTCAATAAATATATTATTTTGGGTTTGGTCGAATCATGTCGGATTCGGATTTTATCTCAAAAAACTAAGTCAGGTTCAGAACGGATTAAAGGTATATATTTTTTTTCGGTCGAATTTTAGTCGAGTGAAGGATTTATAATTTTTAGATCGAATTAAATAGATTAAAAACCTAACCTGACCTGACCCATGATGATTTGATGATCCCTATTTGTAAATGAAAATAGAAATTGAATATGCATGTGACCAAAGCAAACATAATACAATAACAATGGAATTGAATATTTAAGGGTAAAAGAGGTGAGAGAACCGAGGTTGTGGGATACCTTACAGCGATTCAGTAACGGACAGTGTCATGATTCAACAGAAGAAAGAAGAACGGTCTGACATAAAAAAGGAAAAGAGCTAAAAAGGAGGCTCATGTAGACCACAATTATTCCTCATCTACATGCATACATACATGCATATATGCATATATATATATATATACATGCATACATATATACATGCATGATAAAGCTGGTGAGCAGCGGCGGATATATGCATAAGTCAGGTGGACATATCTCCATCCTCAAACCCAATTTTTTTTAGGTTAATTGTTTATTTTATTTAAGATATTTATCTTGATATTTTAACTGTGCATACTCCATACAAATTTTTATTATTATTAATATATAGGGATGATTAAAAAGCTCGAATTTGATGGGGACCCGACCCAACCCTAATTAATTTTTTTTGAAATTTTGGGATTTGGGGTGGGATAAGACGGGTTATATGATAAATAATTTTGGGATGGGTTGGTTTTGGGTTTAAGGTGGAAAAAAACCAACCCGACCCAACTAGGTTTAAATTATTAATTTTATTTATATTTATATAATATATTTAAGTTTTTAAGGATTTTTATTTTTATATTATTAAAATAAATTGTCTAATTATTAAAAATATAAAAATTAGACAATTTATTTTAAAATGTTAATATATTCGGGTCAAGTCGGGTCTAGGTCGATTTTTCCTACAAGGCACTGTGATTGGTGTAATATTTGCAAAATTTTTCCTGTGGTTAACAGGCTCCTACAAGGCACTGTGATTGGTTTTTCTTCGTAATTAAAGGGACCAACTCTCTTTCCCGCGCTCTCAAACAAGTATTTCCATAAAGCCAAGAATCCATACAATTATATATTCTGGGAAAGGAGAGAAAAATGAAGCAATAATTACAGCACAAATTATGGAAAGGGACACTGGGAAAAGAAAGAGAGAAAAGAGGGTGTGTTTTTCCTTACCTAAGATGCATTGAGTGAGACTCTTTGTCAACAAGATAATCAAAGTGTCCCAGAATGATGTGAATGCCTATATGCCTACCCGAAAATGAATCAAAATCTTCTACTATTTTCGCTATAACGAGTATATCTTGAGTTTTTTACGTTAGATCGAGAAGTTTTAAGATATGTTAAAAAGATAATTAAAAGACGATTCATACGTAAGAATCGTCTGAAATATTATAGTATATCAGCTGAGATTTAAATCTTCGTATGTGTACAACATAGGACATTGGTCGTGTAGTAAAAAGAATTCACCATGTTTTCTTGCATAATTATTCAAACAAAACTGCTTGATTAAGCAAAAAGGTCATTTCAACAGAAGATGATTGCTCACCCATTTCCATGTAAGACATATTTGTAAAAGTGAAGGGACCCCATTTGATAAAAAAAAAACCCTTCTTTTTCACAACCAAGTCCCTTACTCAACCAACCTGTTCCCTCTCATACATGATTTCACTTCTTTAATCTTTATCACACTCGATAGCTTAGCTTTGCTCCTTTTTCCTTCTGTTTTGTAGGGTTCATTCACATTCACCACTCACCAGTGAAGTTCCCACTTGTTTCCATGTGCACCTCTCTCTTTGCGCCTGTAGACATGATCATGCCATGGTTGAATCAGACGCAGATTCAAAAATATTATCATCTCTTGTTTATTATGTGCATGTGTCACTCTTACACTTTATTATCCTCTTTCCTATGTCTGATTGAATGCACAAATGTTTCCTTTTCGATACAAGATTAATGTCTATCGTCTCTTTAAGATGTGACATTCTCTTATATTTAAACTCGTGATATCATGCTCAGGCTTGTTTCTAAGATTTTGGTGGCCCTCGGGCGAACCAAAAAAATTAGCCCCTTAATCACGGATTTAAGTTACAATTTACGTTTGAGTCTTCGGTCGCGTTGCGTTTATCGCCATCGCGGACATCAAACATGATATTGTGGTCAGTGCAAGTATCGTGACTGTGAACTATTAATAACATATGCTAGTGTGGACATAACAATTATGGATATCGGGTTTGAGACGATGTTATTATCATATTGCATAACGATCATCATTGTGGTTACAGATCGTTTGTAACACCTATAGCCTGTATACATCTCGAAATACGAGCTAAAGATATTACACCAACTTGACACACGTTCACTGAACATAAATGCTTAAAATTTTGTTTTCTTTTAAAACATTTCTATTCCGATTTTAAAATTATTTCCCTAACCACATAAAATCATAAATTAATAATTTGACATCGAAAAACCAATCTGTTTTCAGGCAGCGTTTAAACAATTTAGTGTTGTTTCATAAACTATATAACACTGCCTAAACACTACTAAATTTTAAAATAATTTTAAACATGATAAATTACTCATTCATAAATACGAATATAACTAGTCTAATCAAAATAAAGTGGTCCTAATTTACTATTACATAACATTTAAAATAAATTGATAAAGCATACGGATAACATAAATATACATGCCAGCCAAAAGTAACATCAAAGATATCTTACTGATACTGATAATATAGATGATCTCTAAAAAGATGCTCGAGAGGCTCCTCACATCACATCCTTATCTCTATCCAAACCTACGCATGAAAACCATCACGCGTTAAGTATAACTTAGTGAGACAGTAATAACTCAATGTGAGAAATAAACATATAAAATGTCATGTGTAAATTAAAACATTAAAAAATAAATCAAATAAAATCTCAAAACGTTCAAACCAATTTATTCACTTTATCTCTTCATCATAAACCTGAAAAGAATCATCTTATGATTTTATCAAAAATCGTAATAATCAATGTCTGATAGAATAATCATATAACATTTATTTTCAGTCATAATCATATAACATTTCTTTCCAGTCATACATCTTTCATAACCCAAAGTATATTTAAGAGAATGCAAGGCATGCGAGTCGGATGAGTGTGAGCAATAAACACTTCAGTGCTGTCATCAAATCAGACTATGCACTCCAAGTGCAATCATATAATCTGCACTAACGGTATTACACATAATGTACACTAATGTACCAAATCAAAATCAGATTCACTCCACCTTATGGCATGCCAATTGTACCTAAGACTCTCAATGCAACATAAAATGAGCTTTCAAGTCATTTCAAGTTCATATTATAGTCAACATTTCAATATTAAAATCATTTTTAATTCAACGTCATAAACATAAACTTGGGCTGTTCATAACCTAAATCATTCATAAACTTTACAAAAATATTATGAAAATAATCCATAATTAAAACATAAATTATAATTTTAAAACAATATGAGGTTGACTTATCACAAGTTGTCCTCGATCAGAATAATTAAATAAGTAAACTACACTCACATTTGCCTCACTACAAAACTTTTATACAAACACCTTCTTACGAGCTTTTTCCTTTCCTTTCGAGTAATTTGGATCGTTAGATTTTTCGTAGCCTGACAACATTACATAATAACACAAGTATTCGAATCATATGTTAGTATCGTACTAACATAATCCAAACTTATTGATATAAAAATCTATAAAAATAAAATCGATACTTACTCGATAGGAAACTAAATCATATTTCCAACATAATTTCAAACTTCTCAAAATATTCATTCAATTCCAAAAATATTTATTGTCATCATAAACCTTCAATTTTTTTTTTCAATTCCACAATCAAGCCACTAATTATGAATTCTTTCTAGAATTCGCCTTAACTTTTCCATTAACTTCATAAACGCCCTTTCACCAT